CAAGTAAAAAAACCTCTCCTCTCCCCTCTCTTCCTTTTTTTTTTCTTTGCTTTTGTTTTTTTTTTTCTTTATTTATGTTGTTCCTGATTCTTTTTCCCTCCCTGTTTATATTTTCAGGAGCATATGAGATTAGATGAGTTATTGATACAGTTCTATTTAAAGAGTTTCAAGGATATTTGATTTTAGTGTAAAGACATTTGCAGGTTATTACCATATTTTTGTAGGACAAGAATTCATAGTTGTCAATTAGATTCCATTGTAAAATTTATTCATTCGATTCACATTATCAACCTCGCATGTAAGTATGCAAGGTGCATTTTTTTGTTTATGTAACGAAGTCACATAATATGTTATCCTCGAAGGAAAAGCAAATGGGAAAAAAACAAGGGAAAAATTGGGCACATATTTCTTACATTGATATGGTAACAAAAATGTTTTGATAACTATTGGGTCAGCACCTCCAACATATACATTTTAGCTTCATATATATTCATATGTAATCCGCTTGCACAATCTTTTTTCCAATATACTTGGCCAAGAAATCGTATCCATGGAAGTAAAGAGCTTCTATTTCGGCTCTATGGCCACTTTCAATCATGACGGCAAGTTCTTCTTTGTAATTATCCTGCAAAAAAGCACAACTCTTTCCGAGACGTTCGGGAAAAAGAGAAACTTTCTCCACATGCAAAAGAGAAACAAACTTGCATATGTAGTTACATTTAATAGTTAAAACGATCCTTAATGTATAATTTAGTTTACTAATCTTGCGCTCTATTGAAGAAGTATTTGCGATTAACGCTGCACACGTGACGGCATACTTGTGACGCCTCCAGCAAGCATTTGTAGTTAAGAAACAAACGGGGCTCTTTGTAATTTATTTACTTACTAAAGTTTACCATTTGTATTAGTTTCTTCATTTTACTGAACCATAGAAAATGGGCACATTTTACCTGCAAAATCTCCGAGGAAGACAAGTTTTTGGCAATTTGATGATCACGTTGCTTCAATGGGACCAGAGATTCTTCCGGTACGAATTGCTCTATGTCATCCTTGCGCAGTCCAAGCCACTTGACATTGCAAGCTAATTTAGGGGAAATTAGTCTTTTACGAGACCGAGAGTTGAAACAAGAAGGGCATCAAAGAGTTGGGAAAATGTACCGTATCTGTAAGCTTCCAGACCCATTGTAACACTTCCGTACTTGAAGGTGCATAATATTGCCAATCCAGCTGGATTCCTTCACAATGGAATGAAGACTAGTGATCAATGATTAGTAATCTACGCAAGAACTATGCATCCTAGAGATAAATTGGTCGATTGTACCAGTCAACAAGCCCAATAATTGGAAGTTCAGGAAATTCTCGACTCATTCGATGAAGAAAAAGCCTGCTAGGAATTTCAACACTTGAGATGACATTTGATATTTACTAACAAAAAAACAAAGGAATGTATTTTATGCTTGTTGAAATTAAATATATATAAATCACCTGGTGCCAATATCTGGATATCCTTTGGCTGTGATGAGAATACAGGGAATTTGATTGAATATACGATCCTCGGCTAGCCTCTGGAAAATGGCGTGCTGTGGGATGCAGGTGTTTCATATTTTGTTGCACGAGAAGCAGGAAACAGAAGGTGCATTTCATTGGGCTCAGAAAGTGAAACGTTTCCATGAAATTGATTACCTTCTCCACCACAATGATATATCTAGCATCACTCTTCATAACCAAATTTTCTAGCACATTAGGTCTCCAGAGATGGCATAGCCAGAAGATCCACAAGCAGAGCAGTCCACGACTTCCTGATTTGGCCCCTACTCAACATATTTAAAATAAACAATCAATTCAGAATTACTTTCAGCTGCATATTAATGCAACTCAAGCTGCCCAGCCATTCACATTAAATTTCTGGACTTCAGTTTATTTCCCTACTCAAAGTACCAAGGAAAATATCAATGAAGAAACTAAATAAAAGAAAAGGAAAAAGGAAATCACAACATCACATGTGCAACTATTACATGCCTGCAGCAAGAGGCGGCCTGCAACTGCTCCTCTGCTAGAAGCCATTATCCCAAGGCTATACCGGCTGCACTTAAGCAATGCCACTAAATCTGTTTTGCATACATGAATGTAAACACATATTTGGCTAATTGACTTCAATATAATATGAAATCCTAAGCTCCCATTCCAGTTTTACTCTACTAGAGAAGAAAGTAACCACTCGTTAGATATAACAATCATTGTGGTCCCATTTTGCTCCTTTTTTGGATACTCCAAGGACCATTATCAGGAATTCATGCAAGAAAACACGAGAAAATCTGTATATAGAAGAAAAACTTTCAACCTTGGACAGTCCGGTTGACCTGTAATTGAGAAGTAAAAAGCTGCGGTGAATCGCACAGCAGTTTGTAAAATAACTCCCTCTGAGTTACTTTCTTTCCTTGACCAAGAATCTGATAACACATCTCCATCACCTTCCACACTTTGTACACAAGAGCAAGTTTCAAATCGGAAAGAGGAAACAAGAAATAACATAAAAATATATTATCGGCAACACAATGTTCACTATAAAATCAAATCAAATATACCTCTCATAAATGAATTGGCAGTGTTCTCATTCATCAAAGACTGCGTACAAAAGGAATGCGAAAGAAAAATCTTCGAGTGCTCGATTAGCAACCCTCGACTGACTCTGCTATTGCTCGTTTTCCGGTTAATCTGTGTGCAGATTTAAGACCTAAATTCGTAAACAACGGTTCGAAGTTTTCTTCTTCTATATCATCTTATCAAGCATCAAATGCAATTGTCCAGTAAAAACGAATTTATCCAAAATTTATGATAATTTTATCATACCACAGGCAAAGCAGATACTGATGACGCCGCTGAATTAAGGTTTTTCAGGAAATTGAGGACCGCAACTTCGATCCGAGCTCGAACCTGAAATTTCAAAAAATAAAATAAATAAAATTAAAAGTTACATATAATTATATTTATCGAGAGGATAAATCACGAACATCGGACGGAGGAAGGATATCGGCGTGGCAAAGGTGTTGATCTGAAAAGAAGATGGAGTTCTTCAAAAGTTCACCCATTTTCTGGAGACGAACCAGATGAAAAATCGTGGGAGATATTTTCGCGGGCTTCTGGAATATTTCGAAATTTGTATTGTATTGGCAATTTGGCATAGCTGTTTGCGTTGCCTTAGTTTTCTTCGGGTTGGGTTGACCCGCCGAACCGACGGGTTCGGCCCATTGACCGACAGCCTGAACCCATTGACCCGAGTTCCTAGTTAAATTCGGGGCTGGTCCCATAATTATACAGGCCAGTTTCTGGTCGAGCAAAAACTAAATAAATATTGCGGCAGTTATTTTTTTTTTATTTTTTTATTTTTTAATTCTGGCCATTAAATTTTGTAGACGTTGCCACAATAACAAGTGAAATTTGTCCAACCTGGACAGTTTCTTTTAATTTTTTTTCCAACTTTTTACATATTAAAAAAGATACTCGAACTTTAAGGTCAAACCTAAAACTAAAACCGGCTGGACATGAAAAGCTGCTAAATAGCCGGGATGATTCGGTTCAAGAGTTTATAAACGGCCTTGGCCATTCCTAATCCTAGTGACCATCACACACTGTAACTTTGGGAAATATAATTTGTTTTAATCACCCGTGTATTACATAGGTCAATTAGAGAGAATTTAGAATTATAGGATAATTACAAACCATAAACGTAGCATATAAATTGTATGATTATAATATTTGTATTGTCTTGAAATCAATTATTTCATCAGGTAGTTAAGTTTTCAAACATTCCTAAAACTTTTTTAATCTATGTATAAGTAATTACAATAAAATAATATGTCAATCCTTCAAATTTTTAGTTTGTGCTCAATAGATTTGACAATAAAATAGATACTTTTTAACTAAAAGCTTTATGATCATGCTTTAAAAAAAAATATATATCTATAGATAAGTTAGTAATAATAACTAAATAAATATTAAACTTTTAAGTTTGAAATATTTCATTTTTTATTCAAAGTCCTTTACATCTTTGATGTTATATATGTGGAGCCTTCTTAATTTTTTTTTTGAAAATATTTGTCAAAGAAAATGAAAAATCCCGCATTTGGCTAATATATTTATGGGATGTCATGTCTAATATGCATGATAATTAATTAGTTGCTTATTTTTTATAAGAATTAATTATGTCAATTAATTAGTTGTTTTATTTGCATGGTAATTAATAATGAAAGATGCATATTAAGAAACCAATAATGAGATGTTTTAAATATAAATAATTATATTTAAAATAAAATTAAAAAAAAGTTTTAAGGAATAAGTCTGCTCGTATATCAGACGGGATACACACTAGTTAGATTATGAAGGTAGGTTCTATTAAAGTGACGTATAATAATTAATTCTTGTTATTTAAACTTTTCCTAAAATTTCAGTCATTTGACTGTTAAAATTGGGGATTTCAGTCCTTTGACCGTTAAAATGCCCAATTTTTACGGTAAAATTACAACAAAATTTTAAATTTCTATTCAAAATTCATCCCAATTATGTAAATTAAGAATTTTGATGGCCAAATGGCTTAAATTTCAGGAAAATTTTAAGTTACAGAACTCAATTGTATGTCACTCCAGTGTAACCTAAACAAATAGAAGTAGTAAACTTTTGATCTTAAGGTTAGGTCGTGCTAGAATTATAAAAGTGTAACCTTTTCTTGAATAAATTTAGTTATTTATAATTAGAAGATAAATAATAGGAAATCTTTGGTGTGGTGCTTTTCATCAAGTACATGGCACTTTATATGAATCCCTCTGCTTTTTCATGCTTCCATGACTCTAGTCACCAATCACCATTTATTGCACCTCCAAAACACAATCTCCCCAAAAGCCTTATATAAATGAATATATCCCATCACATTGTCACACTCACTCACATTCCATTACATCACACTTCATAATATTGCTCACAAACTTTTGTTTACACACACAACAATGGCAATCTTCTTCTCAACTTCATCTGCATGGGCACTTGTAAGCCTAATCCTACTTGCATTTTCCTCAAACTACATTGCTACAAAAGCCGAGGCACGATCATTTTTCGTGTTTGGAGACTCGCTCGTTGATAGTGGCAATAACAATTACCTTATCACCACTGCTCGTGCCGACTCCCTTCCTTATGGCATCGACTATCCAACTCATCGTCCCACTGGCCGTTTTTCCAATGGTTTAAACATCCCCGATATTATTAGTAAGATTTAATCTGTACGATTGATATATATATATATACAACATGTTTACACGTTTTTTTCGTAACTATATCGAATAAGATAATGTTATAATTTTAGGTGAGCATATGGGAAGTGAGCCTACAATGCCATACTTGAGCCCTTTGCTTAAGGGTGAGAAGCTTCTGGTTGGGGCCAATTTTGCTTCTGCAGGAGTTGGAATCCTTAATGACACTGGAATCCAATTTGTATGTTTTATTTACTAATTATTTTATTATCTTATCTTTTTACTATTAATAGTAAGCCAATTGCATATGTGTGTTTGGACTTGGGACTTCACCCAAAACTTGCTACTTCATTGAATGACAGATTATTCCATGTTGTTTTGGGTTGTACCTTTAGAAGCTATAAATTCTGCTTTTACAAAACAAGCAATAAAGGACATTGCTCAAATGAAGTAATGCTTTATTTATACTTTAGTCCTAATATATTTGTTGTACTATTGTTCATACTTAATTTTGTAGCTGAATATTATTCGGATCGGAAAGCAATTAGAGTACTTCCAGCAGTACCAATCGCGTGTGGCGGACTTAATAGGGGCCGAGCAAACGAGAGTACTTGTGAACCGAGCTCTTGTGCTCATCACTCTCGGAGGCAACGATTTTGTCAACAACTATTATTTAGTGCCGTTTTCTGCAAGATCACGACAATTTTCTCTGCCGGACTATGTTTCGTACTTGATTTCCGAATATCGCAAGGTTTTGAGGGTAAGGTTTCGCGTCTAAATAATATCATATACTTATGTAGGAATGAAAAGAAATAAAGTTAGGGTGTATTGGTTTGGGATTTCGATTCGAGTGACATTTTGAGACTTTTAAGATTTTCTGAAAGAATCCTCTGAAATTTTAAGTTTGGAGGTGGAATTCTGAGTAAAATTTCGTATAAAATTTTTTCTTTAAAAGTCTCAGCAAATCTTAAAAAGTCTTAACAAATCATAGTCTCAAATAAGTTAAATATCTCAGTATTTTGTAAGTCTTTTTTAAAAATCTCAAATGAATAACCCAAGACTTTTAAAAGTTTAAATTAAATACACAACAATTTCTAAAGTCTTAAAAGATCTATAGAAATTTCAATAAATAAACCCCTAAAGTGATTTTTTCACACTTGCAGAGGCTTTACGATTTAGGAGGAAGAAGGGTTATTGTGACCGGGACAGGCCCAATGGGCTGCGTGCCCGCTGAGCTGGCCCAGAGGAGTCGGGCCGGGGAGTGTGCAGTGGACCTAATGCGGGCTGCGAGCCTTTTCAACCCACAGTTGACTCAGATGCTGGGCAGCCTTAACAGTGAGGTTGGAGAAAATGTATTTATAGCAGCCAATACATATGCAATGCATATGGACTTCATCTCCAATCCTCAGGCCTATGGTAGTATATACAAAAAAAATAAAAATATAAATAAAAAAATGGTAATAAATGATTTGTTGGGTGAAAATTTGTATCTTTTATGCAATGCAGGATTTGTGACATCAAAGATTGCATGTTGTGGACAAGGCCCATATAACGGAATTGGGCTTTGCACGCCAGCCTCCAACTTGTGCCCAAACAGAGATGCCTATGCCTTTTGGGACCCATTTCACCCCTCAGAAAAGGCCAACCGAATTATAGTCCAACAAATTTTATCGGGTGACAAAGCCTACATGAGGCCCGTTAACCTTACCACCCTAATGCCAATGGATTTTCATAATATATAAGCCCATATCAAATTTTCATTATTATTATTATTATTATTATTATTACTACGGTTGTTGTTGTTGTGTTTGTTTTCTAATAAGTATTGTCTGGTGATTTATCTCTCAACCATTTTATCTTAATCGCCTCATTTTCGTGTCTCAAGTGTAATGGATTTTTTATATGGTGAGTGAAGAATGAATAATTTTTTGCTGTTCCTTGTTCCTCGTAAAAGCGTGTTGTTATGAATTCATTTGTCGTCATTCTATTATCAAGAATTCAAGTATTATTGGCTGCAATACTGGAGTTCGAATTTTGACATGGAAAAATGATGTAATAATGATGAATTTAATTAAAATGTCATACGAGTTGGTTATATTAAATCCAATGTGAGGAGGGAAAATAATTATTGTGTAACAAAATGATATTTACCTCCAATTTATTATGCATGTATAGGTATTCCCTAATCAATCTCCTTCAAACCAGATGATTAAAAAAAATACAGAAGATTTTAAATATTTTTTTTGAATCTTTAAGAGCCAAGTTAATGATCACATATGCAAGAAAAGATTTCCAATTTTCATTTGGGCTACCATATTATGAGCTTCTAATCACTTATAAGGCCAGTATCATGAAATTCAAATTAAATAAGATTGGATTTCAATAATAATAATAATAATAATAATAATAATAATAATAATAATAATAATAATAATAATAATCTGGACATAAGCTGTGTATTTATTATATTATTATTGCTCCGCGGTTAAATTAGGTTGAGTTTTTGGAATCTCAATAAATGCCAACGAATTTTCACCTAATAAATCAAGAAAAATTTATTGCGAAATGATTCGGAATAAAAAAAGTACTGAATTTTGTGTTGGAGAAAATATTTTTCAATTCGATATCCACTCTTAATATAATTTCAAAACGTGCTGAGCCTAATAAATGGCTGCCTCGCACGCTTCGGAAGCTTACTTGATAACATTACATGCTTCAGCTTTTCGCTCGAATACATTCTCTAATTGTTTAAAATAAAATACTTAATAAATAGGATTTTTGCTTAATACGATCCCCTCCCACTCCAAAATAAATATGATTCTTATTTGCCGTGTAAATAGGATTTTTACCAAAATAAAAAATAAATAGGATTTTTTGCTTAATATTATAATAAAAAATTTAAACGTAATTCACGAAATACCAAAATAATATCGACTTTGATATTTTTTATTTTTCAATTTTTATACAACAATATGTGTTTTTTTCTATTATTTTATACTTTATATTTTTTTTTTCAAATAACCCGTATAGTACACAGGTGTCGTACTAGTATGGTCAACATAAAAAAAGTACTGAGTATTTTGTATTATTATGGTGATAGCAATAAATAAATGTAAATTTATATGGAATGCATGTATAGTACACGTAGGCAGTGTTTGTTCATTTGTAAAATCTCTCGGCAAACAGAAAATAAATATGATAGAATATCTACAAAGAGTACAATATTGATGTTCCTAACCACTGAACAACTATTTTTTTTTTTTTAAATGACACATTTTCTGTGAAGAAATATATATTGTTAGGTGTATGTACATACTTGTCTTTCAAAGAATGACAAATAATAGCACGAACGGAGAATGATAACGAACGGCTCGATGAAACTACGAACACGATCCTTGAACAAATTTGAACTAATAATTTAAATAACAATTAAAGTTGAAGCACGTGAAACACGTTCTCCGTAAGATGAAATTGTCGTCGATTAATGCTCACGGTTTTCGACAAATGTCTCCAAAATACGACGACTTTTATCTTGTGTATAGTGACGCTTCAAATACACAAGATATCGGTAAAGTTACTTGTGTTTAGAAATCTCATGAAATAAAGAAATAATCATGAACACAAGAGAAATATGAACTATCTTATGTTATATCAATATTTATTATCTTTATATTAAGTTCTCTAATATTATATGCATTTGAAATCATATGGGTCAGTATAGGTGTTCTTAGACATCTCGGGGAGTTTATGGCATCAAAAGTCACCTTTTAGGGACGTGCCCGATCGTCTAAAATTGAGTAAAAATCTTTTCGACACGAGCAGGTGCTTCTGGGTTGCGTGCTCGTCGCGCCAAAAAATGGGTTGAAGTAAGCGTCGTGCCCATAATAGGGCTTGGAGTGCGCCAGCGCGTCGAGAGTTGCTCTTCCGGACTCAGAATTGCGTGCTCGTTTAACTTATCCAAATATACGCCAAAGACAAAAACTTTGCGAATCATACAATCTTTAAATTACATAAACTCAACTTTTAGTTACATATAAACTTGAATTCCCCTACATTTCAACTATAGAATTAATCTCTCATTCTACCTAATATGGTTTTGAGATTTCATTCCAATTCTTCTACTTACGAAAAGTAGAAGCGTAAAATAAGTACAAACTAAAATTTCTTACAGTCCTCCACATGAATGAAAATAATGCATGAATCCAATACTTTAGAGTTTCGAACCATCATTGCATCAGGATAGATTAGCTTGTGACTCTAAATCTTTCTTATTGAGATCGGATACACTAGCCAGTTAGTAGTGCGATGCTTTCAACTTACCGGTCACTTGCGTGCACCAAGACAATAGTACTCACACAACAACAACTCTAACACTTTCATATTCTCACGTTGTGTTTGTTGCGGCCTTCGACCATATTTTGGTTTAGTAAGTATTCATTTGAAGCAGCTAATTACTTCCCACTTACAAAGGCGATTCTCCTATAAAAAGTATCTCACCTTACTCTACCCTTAGGTTAAAAATCGATTAATGATATAAACATCAAAATGATATATATTTTTAAGTAAATAATTTTCATGCACCTTTTAATGTGAATTTATAATTAGTAAATATTAATAATAATTATTATATGATAGAATAGTTACAAAAAAATTATTATACTTAATTAATATAAAATGTAACATTTAGTTTCACAATTAAATAGTCCGCCTCAGGCGAAAAAACCCTCACTGTCAAATCCGAGTAGCGCTCGGCGTAGTATCGGCCAGGGGTCGTCGTTGACCGCCCCACCCCCTTCCCCCCACTTTGACGACGCGCGACTCCGACGCCCTACGGATGGCCGAGTTTGGAGGCCTAGCTATCGATTGCAGATGGGATCCAGAGTGGCGGTGGCGTCCTTCCCGGTCGGCTTTTCGTCTGCGATTGGGGTCCTCAGTCGCTGGTGGAGGTCCAACTAGTGGTGGTAAGTCCCTCGACACTCCTTGTATTCGATTGATGTGCTCTGCCTTCGGGTGGAGCTCCGCCTCTCAGGCGAGGCTCGGCTTTCTGGTCTTTGGAGGTCCGTGGTGGTGTTGGTTGGAGTGTGTGTCAATGGGCGCGGTGGTCTGGGTTAATGACCTCATCTAGTGGTGTTTGATGAGGGCGGGCAGGGCCGGTGTGGGGTGTTGGGGTTGGTCGTGGCTTTCTCGGTTTGCGACGGGTCGATTCGGGGATTGGTTCGAGGCTCGGTTTTACCTACTGCTAGGCGTACTGCAGTTTCAGTAGCTACTGCTCGGGCTTGGTATCTTTCTTGTGTCGATCGTTCACTGCTAGTTGGGCTCGTTTTGGTTCACTAGGGAAGGGCTCCGTTGTGTATTTATGTTTGGTTTCTGTTCTCCGTGTTTTGTTATTGTTGTTGTTTGTTTTGTATTTGTTCGCGTGTTTTAGGTTTGGGTCGTTGGCCCCAGTTGACCTGAGTGTAGCTTTATTATTCTGTTGGAGTCACACTCGGTCATTATCCTGTTGGAATTGTTTTCTGTAGTTTTAGTTGTGGTTAGTAGTTTGTTTTAGTGTCGTTGTGTGGTTGTCATTCTAGCGTTGCTAGTTGTATTTCGTTTAGGTTGCATTGGATGTGTTTGTAACCTCCTATTCTTCCGGGTTCCAGGCTTGCCCATGTACATTGTTTGTTGGCTTTTTTAATGAGATCGTTTATGTCGTTGGAAAAAAAAAAAGTTTCACAAATTAAATGAAAGAAAATGGACGGGGAAAATGCATTAAATGAATAGCCTCAAATTATATATATATATATATAGGGATTGGTTCCAATGCATCCCATTATTTAAAGTGAGGACGTGAGACTCATTCCTAGCCACAAGATTTAGATCTTGATTTAAATAATAATTTTTTATTTTTATTATTTAATTCTTTATTTTTAATTATTTAAATATTATTATGACCATTGACCGTTGACTCCGGCGTTGACCGTTGACTTCCGGCGTTGACTGTTAACTTCCGACGTTGACCGTTGACTCCGGCGTTGACTTCCGACGTTGACCGTTGACCATTTGTCTTTTGTTATGTTATTTCTTTCTTGTTAGGTTAGTTGTGTCTTGTTGCTAGGTTAGTTGTTTGCTGTTGCTATGTTAGTTATTTGTAGCTGCTATGTTAGTTGAGTTTTGTTGCTAGGTTATTTTTTTCTTGCTGCTAGGTCAGTTGTCTTTTGTTGCTAGGTTAGTTCTTTCTTGCTGCTAGGTTAGTTGTCTGATGCTGCTAGGTTAGTTGTCTTTTGTTGCTAGGTTATTTCTTTCTTGCTGCTAGGTTAGTTGTCTTTTGTTGCTAGGTTATTTCTTTCTTGCTGCTAGGTTAGTTGTGTTTTGTTGCTAGGTTAGTTGTCTTTGTTGCTAGTTTAGTTGCTAGGTTATTTCTTTTTTGCTGCTAGGTTAGTTGTGTTTTGTTGCTAGGTTAGTTGTCTGCTAAGTTAGTTGTGTTTTGTTGCTAGGTTAGTTGTCTGATGTTGCTAAGTTAGTTGTAGTTGTGTTTTGTTGCTAGGTTAGTTGTATTTTTTTTTATAAAAAAATTGTAACCCATAGGATTTGAACCTGGTACCTTATGGAAGCATGACAAGCAATGCAACCACTACACCACTCAAGGTTGAGTGTTTTTTGTTGCTAGGTTATTTATTTCAATACAACGGGTCAACGCCGGAAGTCAACGGTCAACGCCGGAAGTCAACGATTCTCGCCGGAAGTCAACGGTCAACGCCGGAGTCAACGGTCAACTATTTTATTATTTAATTAATGTATATTTTAATTGATTTTGATCTAGACAAAATGAGTGGCTAAGATTAAGTCTCACGTACTCATTTTAAGGAGTGGTCTCATTGGATCCATCCCCTATATATATATATATGTATGTATATATATAGATATAAATGCTATTGTTTATTCCACCCTAATACTCACACAATCTTTACATTATGTAATGCTATTGTTTGCTCCACCATAATCAACTCATCCAAAGATTTTCATCAAGCAGTAACTTTTGACTTACTTCATATGCATCATCTGCACATATATCATCTTGCACAAATTCATTTCTGATCGAGAATGTTAATAGAATCAAAATTAATTAAATGCAATATTTTTTTACTTTTACATGTTCTCCACAAATATGAAAAAAAATAAAAAAAATGACTGTCATGAAACTAGTGTGCCGTTGATCATGCAATAATTAAGTAGTCTTCCAAAAATTTCTAACTTGTAGGCTTTTAAATTGTGTGATGTTCAAAACCACATGTACAATTTAAAAAATTAAGTCTCGAGTAGTTGTGAAGTACAAGTACAATAGAGCATCCATGTGAGCCTTCCTTGATAGCAGTTATAAACTTATAATTAATAAACTTTGCTGCTTGGCAAACTTAGTAAGAGCATCTTCAACCGTGAGCATACAGTTTTGTTATGGAGTCATCCAATGACTCGGCTTATGGAGTCATCCACAGTTATTCAAAAATAGTGTATTGACACGTGTTCTATAATAAATACACTTTAGACAGGTGTCAATACATTAAGTGATTGATGACTCCATAAGAAAACTATCCGATAACTTTATAAAATTTTTTGTTAGCATGAATTGTAGTGTATGTGACAATTAAATAGATGGTCTTCCATCCACGTGGAAGGAATAAATGTTCTAATTCATAAAAAGTCTCGAGTGGTTTATTTATGTAACTAACTATCTTCATATTATATTATTATTTATTGTAGTTCCCACATTTTTTCCTCTGGTAGCAATTACCCTCTTTTTCTTCAACCAATTTGTTTTTTAATTAAAAGGAAAAGAAATAAGTGGAAGGAAAAATATGACTCATCATGTCTAACAAGACTTCTACATGTAGAAGTTCTACATTTTATTCCTTCGATTTCTTGCTACATCATTATGAGTATAATTTAGACATTCACGGTTGGAGACATTTTTTATAGAAACTTCTTCCATATTTCTACGATTAACAGTCCATTGGAGATGCTCTAAGGGTGAGTTTGATTGGATTTAACCAATTCCAAAATGAAAATTGCAACTGTCAAAAAGGCCCCTTTATCTCTCTACGTTAAAAAAAGAAAATCACCAATTTTTCTTGTTCAAAACTCTCAATTTCCTTGTGCCTTCCCTGGCGGCGCCGTCGGGCCTCTTGGCGGCGACTTTCTTCATGATGTGCGGCTTGGTCCTCGGTGTTCGTCACTCGTGTCCGTTCTTGAGCCGAAGGAGGTGGAGGGCCGTTCTCGGGTGGTTTTTGCCGCCGCTCTAGTCGCTTCTTAGGTGGTGGTCCGTTGGCTTCCCTGGGATCGAGGTGGTGGCAGGCTTGGGTGGTTCTTCGGGGGTTTGGTTACTGCTCTGATTGCCCTTGTGGTAGTGGTCTGGGCGGAG